ACCACGGACCTCTGGAAATACCGGCCCAGGGAGCAGAACCACTACACCAGGAAGGCACGCTAGGAAGGCGGGAGAAGTACTTTATAAGCGTATCCAACTGGTATGTGGAAGATCTGTGGTCCAAATAACTGTGATTTCACAGTTGATTTGTCCTATTTTCTACACTTAAAAGCTTAAATTTTACTTTAGGGAACAGAATGTAAGTCTACACATACTAACTCTGGAGAGTAAGAGAAATAATTAAAAAGCAGTTTCATTTTTCTTTGCGGCAAACCGTTTTACCTTCTGCAAAGAAAAAGAAAAATTACTGTTTTTCGTCGTTCAGTCTCTGAATCCAGACAGCAGATATTGATTGCATTAGAATAATAATAATTTTTTTTTAAATCTGAAAACTTTCAGATTTTGCATTACGCCCAAAGGGGCGTCTTTTTAATGTCTTGTGTCTCAACTTTATTTATTAAATATCACGCTCTTTTCACTTAAACCATAAAATTCAGTTCAAGAGCAATATCGCAAAATAGTTTTAAATTGAGCATATCTTTAGAATTTCCGATACAAAGTCTCGCGCGCTGGAGATAAAAATGTTTTTTTCTGTACAAAGTTGCCATTGCTCGCTTTGAAATCCTTGAGTTTGTTAATCAAAAATTCGTTAACAGTTTATAAAATATGAAATTGATAATAAACAAATTCCAAATTTCAAATTTGGGCTTCCACATACCCATATTCGCAGTAGGATTACATCATTCAAAATTGGATGGCTACAGGTACCGTTGTTTTATCACAATGCGAGAAATATACATATGCAGATTCTTCATTATTTAATTTCTTTAAATATAATACAGGGCTCTAATATTTGGTGGCAATTGTTTGAAAAAGTGAATCAACGCAGAAAGTGAATCGACGCAAAATGCCAAAACGCAATTAGGCCTTCTGAGCTAACGCTCCTTTCGGCTAAAAAGGCCGGATAAACTTCTTTCTAGAGGCAGACGACAGGTGAACGAATATTAATATTTACTGCCGTAATTATTGTCTGGCAGCTTTCTCGGAACTTGTTAAAAAATACAGGACTAATACTAAGCTTTATAACTCATTACAGGTATGGTTCATTGCGTTAAATAACTTTAGGAGCCTTTAGATAGTTTTTTTGTTTTTTCTCTCCTTTCTTCCCCCTTTTTTCCTTTCTTTTTATCTTCCCCTTCCTAATTTATTTTTATTTAAAAAACTTTAATAATAAAATTTTCAAAAATTAAAGGAATGAGTGATATGAACGTTAATTTTTGTCCTTGCTCTTTGAAAATCATATTATCACTAAATCTGGGAATTACTGCATCATTAAACTATCGAATGAAACTGCGAATAACGCGTAAAATTGTATGTGCAATGTTTTTGCATATTTGCAACACTTTTTTTCCTTCATTATATAACGTTTCATTCATCATTTGTGCTTATGCAGCTTGTTGGATTCTGCTGTGTATAAACATATTGTGTATTAAGTTAATTAACATATATATATATATATATATATATCAAGCAAGATAGTAATTATAATTTTGAAAAACCAATTTGGTCTAGAAAACATTTTGCGCAATATGCTGCAAAATAAGTAAAATATAAAAATTGTAGTAAGCTCGCCTAAAAGTTACCAGGAGCTGTTGCTCCAAAAAGTTCAACACGTTTTAAAAAAATTAATACATATGAAAATCAAACCATTAAACATGTAAAACATTAAAAAGACAGATTCAGATAAAAAAGTAAGCGGAAAATGGTAAATTACCCTAACTCGACTTCCAAACTGGCTTTTCAAGGGAAATTTAATTTGTTTGAACGTCGAATCAAGCTAACCCCATTACGCGTTTCGCCGAAACAGATAATTGAAACTTTTTCGCTACAGAAATTTTTTAATTTAGACAAAGTGTTTTGGAAAATTTTATTCAGTTGTCTGTTTCGGCGAAACGCGTAATGGGGTTAGCTTGATTCGACGTTCAAACAAATTAAATTTCCCTTGAAAAGCCAGTTTGGAAGTCGAGTTAGGCTAATTTACCATTTTCCGCTTACTTTTTTATCTGATTCTGTCTTTTTAATGTTTTACATGTTTAATGGTTTGATTTTCATATGTATTAATTTTTTTAAAACGTGTTGAACTTTTTGGAGCAACAGCTCCTGGTAACTTTTAGGCGAGCTTACCACAATTTATATATATATAATTGAAAAGCTAAGAAGTACAGTGCTGTAAGACATATTTGGTCTTAAAAATTTTTTGCGCAATATGCTGCAAAAATTATGAAATAATAGGAAGAAAAAAAAATGTAGTGAGCTCGCCAAAAAGTTACCAGGAGCTGTGGCTCCAAGAAATAGTTCAACGCAGTATTTTTGAAAATAATAACATTGAAGGGTGAAAAAATTTTTAGCCTACACGCGAAATAAAATGCAGAATATAAAAAACTGTTAAAATAAATCGTTGGAAACATGTGAATGGCAAAAAATACAGTAAAAACCTATCGATGTGATAAGTGAAAAGTTAACACAGATATAAAACTGATCGAAGGAACAAGTTAAAACAGAATTAAAACATATGAAAAACACAAAAATTATAAAAATGACAAAACGGAAAATGGTAAATTAGCCTTACTCGACCTCCAACCTGGCTTTTCAAGGGAAATTTCAGTTGGACGTAGAACCAAGCTAACACCATTACGCATTTCGCCGAAACAGACAATTGAAGCTCTTGTGTGACGAAAAAATTTTTCAAATATTATTTTTTAAATATTATGAATTGTCCCAAAAAATCTTTTGGTGCTTCAATTCTCTGCTCCAATTTCCAGACGCGTCCGCAAAAAATGACACATTAAGGTGTAAAAAAATGTAAATGCAACTCCGAGCACAGCTAAATTTAAATAAAAATAAAATAAATAGCGGTCTGCTATTAGTCAAACTATACAATAACGTACGGGCTGGACTTGCTAGCTTATAGAATTAAACCTTTATGAATTTTATAAATCTGAAATTAATTCCAATGAAAACAAACGCCGTGGGTCTTGCTAAGACCAAGAAAAAATATTTAAAAAACACACAAAAAAGAAACATAAAAAACAGACCTGTGACTATGCTGTCCTCTTGATCGCGAAGCAAATTTGAAAAGGGGTTGCAATCCCCTCTGTGTCTTTCAAAGCCATCCCTCTCGTCGTGTGACGTAGGCGGGTGAAACAATGTCACTGTGTAGCAATGCGAGAAGATTGCGAGAGGGGTTGAAAGACTCGAAAAGACATGGAAAGAACTCAAAATGGCGTCAGTCAAGTTATTAGAAGAATAAAACTGTTTCTAAATGTGAAAATGGCTAATTCAACAAATATTACTCAACATGGCCATAAAAGTAAGAGTAAAATGGAAAAAAAGTCATTTGTTAATAAAAGTCGTAATTCTTCAAGCCAGAGGGCGATCAAGCTACAATGAAAAACGAAAAAGCCCGATTAGTTAATAAAAGTAGAATTGTCCATCAAAGTAATTTAAAACTATTAAAACAATAGTATTAAAAGTATTGTGCCAAAATCTTTTGGAAGAAAGAAAATGTAGTGACAAGAATAATCTGTACATTTTTACATTAGATTCTCTGAAGCCATCCACTTTATACCGTCCCATTGGGCTTTAAGTATAAAATTTCATTATCTAACTCAAATTATCTAAAAATTGGTAAGGCTAATGCCAGCTTTTTTTAAGGTATTTTTAGTTATTTTATGAGGAATTAGGTTATTTTTCAAAATTATCACGAAGTACAGTATTTCTTCTTGAAGGTGTTCTGTGGTATTGCATATTCTTTTTATTCTAAGTAGCTGTGAATAAATTGTGTTTAGGATGATTCTTTTGGAAATATTTGAATTCCAGTTGGTTAACTTTAGTGTAGAAAAGTGAATTCTCTTCTCTTGTCGTAAACTTTTATAAAATTGTAATCAATAATATGTAAGTCAAGGTAGACTACATTATGTTGCTCCGTATTTGTATTATTTAGTTTTAAGCAAGTGGGGTAGATATTTGCAACTTCTATTTTGTTGTGGTTGTTAAAGGCTATGATATCATCAAAATTACGATATATGTGTTGGAAAAGGAAAAATTACCTCCCATTGGAATTCCTTGAATTTGTTTAAAGATACTATTGTTAAATTGAATAAAATTATTGAAAAGCACGCTAGAGAGAAAAAGTTGCCATTTTTCGGTACTTATGAATGTAGAAATTTGCGGAATTATATCCGGTAGAGCAAGTAAGCTGCATATATTTCTTGAAGTGGTAAGGTAGTATAGAGGTTTTCGAAGTCGTAGCATTGTATATGGTCTATTTTAAGTGAATTTATAGTTTTTAGAACAAGCTCGTTACTTGAAGTCCTCCATTTGCAATGTAGATCCTTAAAATCATAGTTATTAATAAGGTCAGGTATTAAGCGAAGTTTTTGTGCAAAAAGATAATCTATTTCTTTAAGATAACTTTTGGTACTGTTGGCAATAAACCTGAATTTAATAGGAGACTTATGAAATTTTGGTAGTGCATAGAGATTGGCAAATCTGTTATTATATTTTTTTTCGGGGATTTATTTTTAGTCTTTTTTTTTAGTCTTTTTGGCTGCGTTGAACTATTTCTTGGAGCCACAGCTCCTGGTAACTTTTTGGCGAGCCCACTACATTTTTTTTCTTCCTATTATATATATATAAGTAGAAATCTCCCGTTCGAAGCTAACTAAACAATCTTTTCGAAGATATTGATTCTGATTTTCATGAGAAAAATCAATGAAGATTTCAAATGTTCTTTTCCACTTTCTGGAAACTTCTATCTTAATCGAGTCAGCAGTTATTTTCGTTTCCAGATAACACACAAGAGAAGAGGAAAGGTGTAACATCGATAAAGCGTTCCGCTGGCAATCCCTTCTACAGTGGTAGTTCAGCCCGTTGTCATTTTAATGACTTTGAGTTGTTTCTTATCAAAGTTGGCTGTCTTGAAAAATGCATAAATGTCACTTGCTCTTATCTAATCCAGCATTTATTTACACGTTAACAAAAAATTTTACTATCTTGTCTGCTTTTGGTGTTTTGTCTCGGAATGACACATGCACAGAAAAGATAAGATATTCAAGAAAATAAATTTGATGGAAAGCTCCAAAGAACAGTAACAAGCCATACAATAGAATCGGAGACAGGTCAGTTATATGATTTTGAGATTTAGTAAATGTAATGTTTCGTCACAAGGAAGTAAAATCAAGGCGTACGAAAGCAGTTAAATAAAATCCCAAGCGCTATCAACATTAAAAATCCTTTCTGAAAATTGCATATATATATTTTCCGTTCCTTAATATGTTATTTAAAAACATGCATATCCATCCATATGCAACTTCATTCTTATGTATTACGTCTACTCAGTAGTTTTCTGTATATTACATCTTTATTCAGGCCGAAAAATTGCAAATTCTAATAACTATTGTGAGTCTTTATGGAAAAGCTTTTTAATTAATTTTTCTAATTATAGTGGTACTTTACACTATCATTGTAGCAAGCTGAGCGACTTAATAAATTGAAACTATACATTTACTTTGAATAATTTTTACCTAAACAATCCGCAGGTAATAAGTTTCAAATTTTACTGCAGGTGCATGAAGCTATTCCTGTAACATATACAATTCATGCAAGTTTAATTGATTCAAGTTTAAATGATAACTTATGCAAGTAAGAAATTACCATCATTAAAAATATTCTGTGCACTACAATACATTACGCAGTGTACTATTAATTAAAGTAATTTAAAGCACATTTCACGTTAGACTATATTATGTGTCCAACGTATGAGTTTTTGAATCTAGATACTCTAGTATTTCAAGTAATCTAGTACTCTAGTAATTCGCAAAAAATGAACGGGAAATAAAGATATGTAATTCTTGCCCATGCTATTCTAAAGGATGCTGGAAATAAGAATAATCTAGTTTCCTATCACTACAATAGCACACTATAGTTTGTTATTTTAGAGTAGGCAGTTCAGAGTCCTTTTCCCGCATAGCTTGCGTCGTAACCATGGTAACGACAGATGCAGCAGTCCACTAATTCAGTGTTTCTCAACTGGATTTACTCCAAGGACCGGTAAAATATTTCGGTACGTTGTCGCGGACCGGTAAGTTTAATAATTCGAGCCATTGGCACAGTTTTTTCTCATAAATAAATCATGAAGACAATAATTTTTAAAGCATTTTATTTGTTATAATTTACATATGTACATTCAACTTACTTGAAATATTGCATCGAGAATAAAACTACCAAAACTTAACTGAAACTCCAAGAAATTTCCAATATAAATTATATATTTACTTTTTTTAAAACTTATTTACTAAAGAAATATTGATTATATTATCTCCTTAGCAGAAACAACAATGAATCGAAATGTAAACAGCGTAGGTAGATACAAAATAAGCGATATAGTGCTTTACAAAGCTTTTTCTTTTTTGGGGCAGATTGTGGACTATATTCACCTTCATCTGTATTCGAAGGGGCGGACGACGTACTTGGTTTTGGAGAATCCTTTCTTTGCACGAAATTTAGTAATGTGTCTTTCGTTTACTTCTTACTCACCCTGGTTTTTGATTTTTAATCTACCTAAAGTTACAAAAATAGTATTTATAGCACAGTATTAAATTCAGAAGTTATTAAAAACTTACGTTGATAAATAGTTTTCAGTTGTCCAAGCGTGCAGAAGAATGTAAGCAAGATAAAAAGCGAAACCTAACCTAAGAGGCCTTAAACATTACGATAGATATTCAGCGTTCAAGTAATTAGCGATATTCAAGGCAGACAGGAGCACATTTGTCAGGACTTTTATTTCTCTTGATTTGCTTTGGAAACATGGAATGCCCTGAATAAGAACAGGTAGCTTACTCAAGCTATGTTCAAAATTTGTGTATAACAGACGACACAAGCAGGAAGGGTATACGAAACCCTTTATTTTCAATACTTTACAGGCACTTCGGAATACACAGACCAACCACTTGTGGTCTGAACGTAAGAATATGAAACTACTAACTAAAACTCTGACTAAAAGCTAACTTTGAATTAGTATGCAAATGCCTAGCACTAAGACTGGCCTTTTTTTAAAAAGGGTACGTATGGAGTACGCCGAGCTGCTGAAACTACAATACGTTTGCAAATATCAAGAGGGCTAAACCTCTGGCCTTAAAGGCAACCAGCAACCGAGTGAAAAACTCGTAAAATTACAGTGGCAAGCGGCTTGCTTCTTAAAAACTCCTTCTCTCTCCCGCTTGGCAAAAAAGCCACAACTTGGCGTTAGCAAGACAATTTGCATAAACAAGTTAAAGCATTTAATTCTGGCCGGAAGTAGAAAATAAGAAGTGATAGTACAGTTTTAAAATAAAATAAACGTTAGTAAAACTTAGGATCCTTACATACTTCCCGCCAGAGTTAATTAGTTTGAAACTGAGGTCTAAAACGACTTTGTTGAAAACTTTTAGCTCTAGATTCTAAATCTAACGCGAGGCCAATCGTTTACAAACATTCCTCACTAGAAACTATCTAATCTAGAAATTAAAAGTCGTTTTTACATGATCAATTCCATGGACAATTACTTTTCATCTGTACTGCATCTACAAAGAGGAGTTTTTCTTAGTTGAATCTGATTCCTTCCAGAGATCTGGAAGGAAAACTAGTTTAATGAAATGTTAAACAATCAAATGGTAAGTAACATGAACACGTATATCTTTCTTTTAACACTATTCTTATTTCATTCATGCCATTATTTAATTATCTCCCCGTGCTCTCTGATATGTGTTGTAAAGAGAAACACCAAACACGTGCTTGTCTATGTACAAGTGTTCAACACTACCACCTGCAATCAAACAACTAACGTGTTAAAATTCAACATAACAAGACCTCAGAATACACCTTATATTCATCTCTGAACCCTGAGGTACTATTCTCAAAAAGTGGCTAAATCTGAAGTGTAGCGTCAGAGAGCCTAACTACGTTCATTCAACCTTTAGCACATATTCACCATACTGCGCTCTTTTTTTCAGTCATACCAATAAGTTAAAATTTTGGCATTACTGCAACATTTTTATTTCTAACATATCACAGTACTTCTTAACTTTTAAGATAACAGTTTACATCGTACATAAGGACATGCTTATGTACGATGTGAACTAATAACATGTAAGATGTGAACTAATAACATGCTGTAAATTTTACACATTTTAAAACATACATTAGTAGTACAATGTTTGTTAACTTCTATTTCTTCCAAGCAAGTGCTAATTCTTTTATATTTAAATACTACATTTCAGAAGTCCTTCAGACTAAAATTTCTTTTCTTGACAGAATCTTTTAAATAAAATTTTATAAAATAATTTTACAATTATCTTAAGGTACCTTTCTCATAGATTACCAAAGCTTTTACAATACTCAAGTATTTACACATTCCAATTATTATACAATAATTTTAGTTTTCTCGCGAGTAGTTGAAAAACATAGTAACAAAATAGATAAAACTCATTTCTCGCCTTTTTGGCGATAAAGGTAGGCCTCACATGAGGTAAAACTTCTTAAATTCTGCCACTTGCAGTAAAAACGAAAAATTAAGTAAAAAATTAAGTTTCAAAGTAACATAAAGTTTTACTTATCTTTGTGATATTCTGACATCCGTTTTGCTGCCCAGTCCTGGAAAGTGGCAAAGACTACAGTCTGGTTTATCCTGCGTCTTGTGCGGGTTCGCCTTTCGGTTCCTTCCTCAGTGAGCTTTCTTTTTTTTTCCTGTTTGATGACCCTTGAAGAACTTCTTCCTAACTCACGATTGTACTCCCGGACGCTTGATGGCAGCTGTTCTTGGAGGAATCGGGACAACTCTCTCCCGTTGTTGCCTGGATCTAGTTGCTGGCTGTTCAAACGTTTGCTGCTTCCGTGCATCTGCAGCTGGTTTTCCTGGGTCGATTCGTCGACATTTGCTGCGTAGACTCCTATCCGATGGGTACATCTTTCGTTTTGGAGCAGTGTTATGGTTGCTGCCATTTCTCCTGGCTCTCTTTGCATTAGTAGAACTTTTCCCTTCTTCATGTTGGGGTGGTCGTGCCCTCTCTTTTCTGGTCGGTGGAACGGCTTCTTTTTCTTGTTACCTTCAGTTTTCCAACGGGGGAACTTTCTTTTCGTATGACTTCTCTACTCATGGCTTGGCCCTTGTGATTGTCGTTGTGCCACCTCTGGAGATTGTGCCTGCCGTGCCGGATCCTGCAAAAGATCTTTAAATATTTGCATTTTATTACGATTATAGAATGGTTTAATTTGGTCAATGTTTGCGGTGCAGGTTTCACCATTCTTGGCTTTTAACACCACTACAGCCTGAGTTACTTTCTTTATTACATAAGGTCCTTCAAATCGTGGATAGAACTTTGCAATTTTATCTTCTGGTGCTGAAGAAAGTGAATGCTTAATTTTTAACACTTCACATCCCCTACTTTATAAGTTACTCCCCGTCATTTCATGTCATAATACAACTTCTGTTTTCTTTGTGCTACTTCAGTGCTCTTCTTTGCTTCTTTAATTAATTTTTCTATATCGCCCATTTGAAATTCAGGGGCTCTTTGTTGCACATAAAATAATCTATCTAACGGCGTTATAATCTTTCTGCCTAAAAATAACTCAGCAGGAGTTTTTCCCGTCGTGTCATGTTTGGCGGTCCTAAGGGCGAAAGCTAATTCATTGACATAGTTATCCCAGCTTTTATGAAACTTTTTAACATAACTAAGAAAAATTTTCACTATATTTCTATTGACCCGTTCCGCTATATTTGATTGCGGCCCATACAAGACCATTTTTAAATGACGTATGCCTAGTTTTTGGCACATGTCTTCAAATATATTACTTACAAATTGAGGACCATTATCCAATATAACTTTTAGGGGCGCCCCGTATTTTAAAATATATTTATTTAAAATAGAATCAGTAACTACTTTCGCAGAGGCTCGTTTTAAGGGAACAATTTCGGCCCACTTACTAAAATGGTCAACCAAAACAAGGAGATACCGACTTTTATTTAACTGACTTTTCGAGAAAGGGACCAATAAATCGATGCCAATTATTTCATTTGGAAACACTGATTTAATGCTATTTAGAAACCCGGCCGGGCGGAAATTAACATAATTAACTGCTTGAC